CTTGAGTCCAAATGAGAAAGGCGGACTACAAATGGTGTTAAATAAATAAGTTACAATTAGCATACAAATTCTGATTTTTTTACTACTAAAATGTGGGAAGCTCGTTATTAATAAAAAGGTAAAGATTCAAATGAAGGTTTCATTTTTTAATAATTTTTATTTCTTTATCTAAATATTTATATCCTACTTTTCTCCCCAATGGGGACCCAAAACATCTTACAACATTGCTCTCCCCTCTTCCGTTTTATCATCCAAACAACCACCCTGTGATGTAGGTTGGTCTGAGAATGACCAGCCCAAGGTCACCTAGCAAGCTTCCACAGTAGAGCAGGGGTTCAAACCTGGATCTCTCAGATCTTAATCCAACCTCTACACCACACTGACTCTTTTGAAAACCTGGCCTCACTGGTGGACCTCCTGATGGCACCTGGTATTTTTGGCCACTGTGTGATACAGAGTGTTGGACTTGATGGGCCATTGGCTGGATCCAGCATTGGCTTCTCTTAAGTTCTTATGTTGATTATGCGCCATTTAGATGTTATTCACTTGTGTAGGTTTAGTGGGAGAAGACGCTCTACATCTCTAATGAATGCCAACAGATGCAGAATTCAATGAGACCATGCCCTCCATTGAGGTTACTTATATCACCGTAAAAGGGAAGATTTAATAGCTATTCTGAAAACACAGAATGGCAGTAATGAATTCAGGAATCACTACACAGATCAAGATCAATTCAGGGGATGCGAGACACTTGCTAAAATAATTGCGACCAAACTAAACAAGCAATAGGGGTATTTAAAGTAAACAAACAACAAACAACCAAGTGGGTTTTATGCCTGACAATCAAACCAAAATTAAAGGGGAAAAGCAGACTACATCGTTTACACAAGCATTTCTATAATGGTTAAATTATAATGGCCTGTATTATCTGAATATGACCCTGCTTTCAAAAGCATATTCATATAATAATGCTCCTATTACTGCCCTATTGTGCACTGTAAACATATTCCCAAGATCAAATGTCAGCCCAACCAAGAATTTAGCTGTTGTACAAATTGCCCAAAATGAGGTAGCCTGAGGTGAAAAACTCCTGGACTGTACCAGTCAAATTGCAGGTGTGAGGCCACTTCTTTTTGACATAATGTCCTGCATGTAATAAAGCAACACTTCAGGGAGATAGGTTTAGCATAGCCAGCTACTTGGTGTATTGGATTACTATACCCCTGGAGTACTATATGCATTAAAAATATGACACCTCCTGCCACCTGCAGTGTGAAATGGTTCAGTCCAGGATTTCATTACCTCAGCGTACAATTTCAATCTGTTTAACATGTGGATTAAGTGAGATTAAGCCTGAATTTCTGCCTCTCTATAACATGCAGATAATAGTACAGACCTATTTTATTAGATTTTATATGGATTGCTGAGGTAATATATGTGAAACATTTTGAGTACCACAAAAGAATACTCATTACTATTTCTTTCATCACCACGGTCATCTTTCTGATATGGAAATCAAGAGCCTGATTTGGTTTTCTTTCTGTTCTATTTAGCTTTTAAGTCACCCTCTGAACATTTATCAAATCAGAGGTTGGACTGAGACAAGAGGTAGGGGAACTAGTTGTGTCCGCAGTCTCTCAAGATGGCTACCTACCTGGCTCTCTATTCTAGCTCCTGCTGAGCATGCTTCTATCGTATACATCCCGTGTTCTAACCACATGGACTATGCTTTGTTCTCAAAGCTTGCATGATCCTTGTTTTACTGTAAACCATTTCCTCCTGCTCTTCTTTATCTTCTGGGATCCCAGCCCAGGAGGTACTATGATCTTTGATTCCCATAGGCACATCCCTATTCCTCTATCCCCATCTTCATAGCTGGCCCTGGCTAGGGATGTATAAATATTCCAGTCTCTGTTTCTTTTTCGTTTGTTGTCACAGTGAGCCTTTTTACTCCACTCGTTTATTTTACCTTATCTAAGGCTGCGGTCACACGGAGCATTAGCCACGCTACAGAGACGGAAGATAGGCGGATTTTCCGGGCGCGTTCAAACCGCAACATCTGGGAAGCATAGAGCTCTCGTGGCTAACCCAAGGCTTCCCGCCGAAGATGTGCCGTAAAAAACTAGTACCTCCGAGGTACTAGTTTCCGGAAACCGCGGGGCAAGGGTGGGCGTCTGATCACGTTTCCGGTGGTAGCTCGTGGCATCCGGCGCCCGCCCATGTCCCGTCGCGAAAAGGTTTTTTTCCCCCCAAGTCTCCACAGGATGCGCCCAAGCACCCAACGGCGCATGCGCATGAAGAGGAAAGCAAAAGTTCCGTTGCAGTGCAGAATCGCGCATCCCGTTGAACGCGAAACCAAAAGTTCCACTCCTCTGTCCTTCGGCTTAAAAGAAAATAAATGACCCCGTTTGCCACGGCAGCGGTGCCTAGCCATTGCTGGTGTGATCGCGCCGCGCTGTTTCTTTGCCGCACTGCAGGATCGTCATGTGATCACCACCCTCGTTTACCCGCCGGCGCTGAGGGAAGGACCCGTGCTGTGCCGCCGGCGCATCTGATCGTGTAATCGCGAATCAAACTGCGTCGGGGCAATTAGCCACGCCTCCCCCCTATCCGGCCCGTGTGACCGGGGCCTTATTTTTATTTTTTTGCTGGTGTTCCCAAATAGTTTCCATTATGTAACTTATGCCATTACATCTCTTCTTTTATACAATTTGTGACCATTTATACACAACGGATATGAAAACAATATTGGAAAATGCACTAATTTTGACAATTTGGCATGAAAAAACCGAAAATGGCAGAAAAATAAAGACTCATGGGTTCAGTTTACCCAACTGAAATGGGGATTTCTGAGTGGAACCAAAAGGGAGGAGAAATTCAAATGCATTCTAGCTCTGGCTGTCTAACTGGAGTTGCCAACATATCTCGGCAACTGTTATTACTTTTTCCTATGTTCACAGATCCAAATAACTGTTGGGATGCTTAACAGTGAAAAGGCAGACATGAGTTAAATTCCTGGATGAGAAGATTGCTAAAAGTAGGATTGTCTGAAAGTCAGGTCCAAACGATACCAAACAACATTTTAAACAAACATTTAATGTAAGTGGAAGGGCAGTGTTGTTTAGAAACAATAAAAATATACTGAGTTGGATCCAACCAGCTTTTCAGTTGGTGAAAGAGGGAGGAGAGGGTCTCTTTTGACCACCAAAAAGGCTATGATACGTGCTCATGGGACCTGCACAGAGAAAAACCATGTGGGATTTGGGTTGTAGTAAAGATGGGAATTAGGTGACAGCGAAAAACTGGCTGGATCCAGCCCACTGCATTATCCACTTTCTTGGAGAAAGATAAAAAAGGCCGATAAAATATCTAGAATGTAAGCTTATAAAAATGATATTAAAATCACAATATGCACACACAGAGAGCTTCCACAAAGCAATAGAAACTAAATGAAGAGAAAGGACACAGAGGAGAAATGGAAAGAACTATAGGTTAAATTAATGTGTGCCCCAAGAGGTTGTGTGCATCATGTAGCAATAAATATCCTATGAAGAGAGGAGATGGTAGTGGTGGTGGGGAGTTAAAAAAGTAATTAAGCCTCCTAAAGGAGGCTTAGAGAGAGCAAGATTTAAACCACAGCAAAGCTTGCCCTTAGCTGACAAGAGACCTGGAAAGACCATTTACTTTAGTTTTGTAGTTGGTTTGAAAGAGTCAGCGAAAGGCGTATGACATCATTAAATGCACACAGAGGAGGAACAAGAAAAAGCCATTTCATAGGGCTCAGTGGATGGTTTGGTGGCACATTGGCAGTTCTACTATTCGCAGGGATGGTTCACCCCTCAAGTTATCCAAGCAACCCAAATCAGCTGAGTGCGGCAATGTGGGAGGAGGTAGTAGGCATAGCTTTCACCTGTGGTCACCTCCCATATTCATGTTGCTTCCACCCTACCTGGGATCAAGGTGGGCTACAGAAGTGCTGTTCGTGGCTTGAACCCAACTGCTGCAGTACAGGAGAAACCATACCCCACAAATCTATGGAATCCTATTTACTAGCCAGACTATTAATCAACCTGTTTTATAAGGCATTGGCTGGTTCTGCAGCTGGCATCCGCTCCACATTTTCTCAACACTGCGGAAAAGGTGCCACTCAAAACCACATTCAAATACCCAGGGGACTGTGAAGTCACCCCTGAATGGCCATAAAACAGCCATAAATCCATGCAGAAGGTACAATAAAACCCGATGATCAAAGAAAGTGAAAGCGGCATGCAACCCAGAGGGGAATTTCTGTTCCAACATGGGTTTGCTAAAACAACGGAGGAAAAAGCCAATGCAGAATCGACCATTGTCTTCCTACATTATCAATAATCACTACATCTATCAATCAATGGAAGTTTATTGACAGAGTTAACATATTAATATCCCACCCATCCCCAAAGACTCAAGGTAGCTAACAATATGCCAACAGGGCAACAAAAATATGACAAAATCACAAACGCAAAAGCAGCATCTCCACCAGTGCATACCCAGAGTTGACAAACTTTTTACAGCCCTATTAATGCCCTAAAAACAACGTACCAACTCAACTAAGAGCCCTCAGAAATAGTATGGCTTTGCAAGCCTTCTTAAAGATAGGCAACAATGCAACTCTCCTCCAGCAGAAACTGATCAGGGGAGTATATAAGGAATTAGGTGACTAAACTAGATATTGGTGGCGGCTAGGGTTGCCAACTTCCAGGTGATGACTGGAGATCTTCTGGGATTGCAACTGATCTCCAGGCAACAGAGATGGGTTCATCTGGAGAAAATGGCCACTTTGGAAAGTTGACTCTATGGCATTATACCCCACAAAAGTCCCTCCTCTCCCAAAACGCTGCCCTCCTCAGGGCCTACCCCTGAAATCTCCAGGTATTTCTCAACCTGGAGCTGGCAACCCTAGTGGTGGTTATTATTTAAATCTTAGAGTGTCAAACGTGCATTTTTCCAGAAAAGAAACTTACCAGATTGAGTCTTTTGTGAGTTTATTATCCACCTTTGACTCCTCATCTAAAAAGACATCCAGCTGTAGGTTGGCATCATTGTCATGGGCTGAGGAGTAGTTAGTGATAACTCTTGCAGGAATTCCTATGCATCTCAAAACTGTAAGAACAGAAGGGGAGGGGAGGATGGAGAAGTTTGTTAAAGCAAATATTGGTGACATCTGCATCAATGGGTGAGCAGACAAATGATCTAACCTCTGAGCAGTTTCCTCTTTCTCTTCCATTGGACTTCTATTGGTTAGTCATTACGAGAAGCAGCATTTTCCATTGGTCACCCCGCCTCCAGATTACGGGGCTCACTTCCAAGAAATGTTCAGCTACCCCCCGCCCCCAAATTTCATTTTATCCCAGCCTTCCTCCAAAAAACACAGGGTAACTCACATGGTCCTTCCCTCCTTCAATTTATCTTCACAATAACCCTTCAGGCTAAAAGGGAGTATCTGGCCCAAAATCATCTCAATCCAGATGTTCCTAGTCCATTTGAAGAGAGTTACATCCTTCTAAGCACACTGATTTCAACAGACTTAGAAGGGTGTAATTCCGTTAAGGATTGGAACCCTTAGTCCAGTACTAGTTGACACCACTGACTCCCAGTATTGCTTGTGTCGCCAACTCTGTCTAGAACATTTCTGGAGATATGGGGGGGGGGGTGTCAGTGCCTGGGGAGGACAGACAGGAAGGAGCTCAGCAGGGGTGGGATGTCCTTTCAGGACTACCATACAACCCTACACTGTTGCTCAGAAAAAAACGCCTTCTTTCTTGAGACACATGTGGGGAGATAGGCGTTAACTAGCTCTGCACATCTTTTTATTCTAATGTTACCATCTCTTTTCGTTGTGATATTTATTTTACTGCTTTTAATTGTTGTCTATATATTGGGTGGGGTAAGCCTCTTCTTTTAAATGAAATGAGACGGTGTTCATAGACCGATGAAATTCATAATACAGCCTAAAATCATTATAAAATGCAGGGTTTACAGAGAAAGGCTCTGTTGTCCTGGAGCCTTAAACTGTTTATTAGTTGCCCTGTGCCCTGTGGAAATATTGTAAAGAAGGGCAAGTTATTCAAGATCTGTGATACAATTATGTCCTAACTGTGTGACGCTCCTACTTAAATCCTAACATTAGCTTCCCATCTGTTCCCACACCTAGCACAGATCTTTTGTCTTCAACATCAAATATTATTTCTTTAAACTGGTTTTAACCCTTTTGTTCTAGACTGAGAGAAAACTGCTGCAAATATATATTCACAAGCAGTATTTAACTCCCCATAGACAAGCAGTGATTTATTGTAACAGGAAGGTGGACAAGAAACTGGAAATTCTGAACAATTCTGGTGGCTCTGTAAAAAACAAAACCATTTCCCACGTAAATCCCAGACGCAACTACTTTTTCTGTTGCGGAGAATTCTCGCCTATTTTTCTGCCTTAGGGTATGATGCTGCTAAAGAGTTAGTGTTTGGTGCTTTGTATTGGCTTTATGATTTTGGTATACTTATGAATTGTTTATGGATTACGCTTTGAAGCGGTCATAAAGTTTAATTTTAAAAATAAAACATTTCAATCTCCTCCCTCAGTCCAAAGGTTATACTGAAAGCAGAAAAAACGACTTGGCTCAAAGACAACACAAACACTGACGTATAATAAACAAATAACATGACATTTTTTTAGGAAAGGGGCGCACAAAGTCCTGAACAAACAAGTGACTTTGCCCAGTCTTGGCTTTCTGGGCTCATTTATCAGCCATCCAAAGACCTCTGGCTTCCTCCAGTGACTTCAGCATCTCTCCCTTGCTGCTCCTCAGAGCTAGTACTACCACCCAGAACATGGCGTACTACCACCTCTCCCACTTCCTTCAAATCCATCCTCAATAACACCTGTTTTTCCTGGGGTGTCTTTGGCACAACTGCTTCATCCTCACTCCCTTCTCATATTATACCTAAACTCATGTAACTCTGGGGGGGCCCTGGACAGAAACTGCTCAGGGCCCCCATCCCTTCCTCTGCCTCCCACCAGGCCCCCCACTCACAGTTCTCATCCCACCCATCAGCACCCCCCACACCTAGGGCTGACAAGCCCCCAATGGAGACAAGGGACATCCCGCTCCCACATTCTGTTGCCTGCCATCACTTCCAGTGGAGGACAAATAAAGAAAGGGGGGGAAAGGCCTCATCCACTTAGAATTTCTTAGCATAGAATTCCTGGCAATTCCTAGAGCTATCCGGAAGCAATAAAGGGTAGCTCTAGCATCGGAAACTGCATAATAAAAACTTCATGTAAGTAGACAAGGCCTTATTTTTCTTTTTAATTTTTCTCCCAGGAGGACACTACCCGAGGGCTGCCAAATCCCCCCGGGGGGCAGATTTCCCCCCGCTTTGGAGGCCCGATTTCCGCTGCCGGATGTGACGTGCTGATGCCGGGCACGCTGGGGGCGGGGCACAGCCATTTGAGGGGGAAACTCTATGTTCTGGCGCGCTCGGGATCGCCATCCGGGAGCCCGCCGCCGCCAGGTAAGAAAGACTTGGCAACCCTACACTACCCACCCACAACCCTCTACAGATAAAAATATGTCCCGTGGATTTTAGAAAATACAGGAGTACAGGACAGGTTGATTATAGGGTTTGAACCTCCAAACAGATGGCCAGAGTGCAGTCTGTGTATCAATATATGTACAACCAGTGCTGCCAAATGCCAGGTGGCACCTGGAAATCTCCAGCTGTTACAAGTGATCTCCAGATGATCATGATCAGTTCACCTGGAGCAAATGGCTGCTATGCAGTATGAACTCTATGGAATGCAAAACATGTGCGCTGCCACTGACTCAAGGGCCCTAGAGTTAGGTGCCAAAGTTTCCATTCCATTTCCATTAAATATTCTTTTTAAATAGATGTTTTTTCTTGTGGCCTGGTAGGCATCTTTATATTGAGAGATAAATGTGCAGACACGTTGTATCTGTTCTTATATCTTCCAGGTAGCAGTCCCATTCTCCTATTCTATCCACTGCTAAGCCCTTTTAAGTGGTTACCTCGTGTGTGGAGTGAATGCACTACGCGTGATCCTCTCGGGATGTGCAATCTCTGTTCTGTATAAATAGGGCCACTTGCATATTTTTCCAGTTTGGTCCTCAAAACTGGAAACCCAGTTTCATTACCAGTATGATTCCTGGACACCAAAGCCTGAAAATATGAGCTTTATTTATTCACACAAAAATGGCAGTGGAAGATATCACTAAAATTGTGAGTAGCACACTCTCCCCCAGTACATGATGTAAAATAAATTGTGTGCCATCAAGTTGCAACCAACTCATGGTGATGCCAGCTCCTAGGGGATTTCAGGGTAAGAGATGAGCCAAGGTAGTTTGCCATTGTCTTCCTCGGCAGAGCAAACCTTTGTCTTCTTTTGTGGTCTCCCATCCAAGTACCAACCCTGCTTAGCTTCCAAGTCCTGATCAGCTGGGGTTAGTCTGCTGTAGTCAGGCTGCTAGTACATAAGGTTGGAGTACCAAAAATGTAAGCGGGAATGGAGAGCAGAGATTGATATGGTGGCCAGAGTGGCGTAGTGGTTAAGAGCAGCAGACTCTAATCTGGGGAACCAGGTTTCATTCCCCACTTCTCCATGTGAAGCCTGCCGAGTGACCTTGGGCAAGTCATAGTCCTCTCAGGACTGTCTCAGCCACACCTGTCTCACAAGGTGCCTGTTGTGGGGAAGAAGAAGAGTTGGATTTATGCCCTGCCCTTCACTTGGAGTCTCAGAGCAGTTTACAATCCCTTCCTTTTCTTTCCTCTCCTCACAACACACACCCTGTGAGGTAGGTGGGGCTGAGAGAGCTGTGACTGATCCAAGGTCACCCAGCTGGCTGCATGTGGAATGAATCAGACCTGGTTCTCCAGATTAGAAGGGAAGGGAATGTGATTGTAAGCCGCTTTGAGACTCCTTAAAGTAGAGAAAAGCAGGGTATAGAAACCTACTCTTCTTCTTCATATGGCAGCAGCTATTGCTGAGTTCTCCCTTTTACAGTATTAAAGCCACTGGCCTCGTAGCCAGTTGTGCAGTGGTGGAGTGTCAGAAATTGCACTGAGAATCCATGAAGAGTCCAGTTAGGTCAGAGGTCCCCAACATGGTGCTCCTGGGTGCCATGGTACCCACCAATACCAGGTGTTTTATAGGAAATGGGCAGGACCAAGGTGGGGCTTCTGCCCAGCAAGGCTTCTGATTGGCTACTGGAGATTTGATTGGCTGTGCAGATTTGTTAAAATGTTGCTTTGGCAGCAGCTGCCTCCACAGCACAAGGGTCTTCACTGTGTGACTGAAGGGAAGCTGCAGCAGCCATTTCGTGGCGGGATTCACCTCCTGTGGTGGTTATTTTTTGGCAGCCATTTTGTTGCTGTGTCCCCTCACTGGGTCAGAATTCCAAAGATGGCCACAGGCTCAAAAAGGTTGGGGACCCCTGGGCTAGGCCTTCGGCTGACGCTCCTGCAGTAGTTCATATTTTGTAGCCTAATGTGCCTACAGTGCTTCACGCAGAAGAGTAGCTTCACACATTCATTTTAATTGTATGATGACAAATTGCTTGGATGCATCCAATACCATATGCACCTATTGATTAAGCTTAATTCGAATGCCTTCCCAGGCTCCGAGCACGTGAGCCATCAAGGTTCATTGGAAATAATGCAGCTGACAATTTCAAGATTAATGGCTTTGCTCCTTCTTTTTCAAAACGTTTTAGCATTTTTAACAGATGACTGTCCCAAAATATTCAATATGATAACCTTGGAAAGTTGTATAGTGATAGCCAAAGAGTGCTGAAAGTTCTAAGTAGCCCCAAAGTGCTAGAAGTTAATGGTTTTATTCATAATGGCTTAATTGACTGACGTTTAACTAATTTATTGTGTGTCTTAACTTGATGTACACTGCTCGAATAAATAAATAAATAGCTGAAAACTAATCTGGAGTTAATCGCTGTAGGAAATGCAGGGTGCTGGAACTCTCAAGAGGGAAATGAAGTTTTCAATCTCTATACTGAAAACTCATGAACTTTTAAACATTTTAAAAATAATTTTGTTAAAGAGGTTCTGGACCTCTGTTCTGGTGCATTCCCCCCGAAAAAAGCCCTGGGGATATGTAATATTAAATGATGCACATGCAGTTTAAAAGATGAATACAATGTGGGATATAGCCGTTATTGAGAAGCTGCGGATTTTTCCTCCCCTGGAGTTCATCTGAAATTAAATTATTGGCTATATAAGAATCTGGGTGTGATTTTCAATGTAAGCTTTGGAAAAGTGCCTAGCAGACTTCTTCAGTGATTTTCATGGGCCTTACATGTGATCATATGTAGCTTCTGATAGTCATAAATAACACAGAACAACAACATGTGCATCCTGCACAGATCCCTCCATCTAATGCCAAGAGCTAATGGGTTGCAACTGGGAACTCTATGGATCAGTCTTGGCTACTCCCTGTGCCGCTGAGCTTGCTAGTCAAAGGACTAGAACAGGACAGTCTGTTCTGAGTCATTCGTACCACAGGCCGGAATCTTTCTTGCCAGGATGAAACCAGAAGGCCAATTTGGTACGGCTATCTTCTCTCAGCCTGTTGTTGTGGGAGTCTGCTAGGTCTTCCCCTTGCACCATCAGACCACCTGGCTTTCAGCAAGTGGAGTCTCTCCTGCTTAGTTCTCCACAGACTATCGAAAGTCCTCACTGAAAGTCCTCATCCACCTGACATCTCTTCATTTTATTGTTTATTTACTGCATTTCTATCTTCTCCTCCCTCTCTCTGGATAGCATACATCGTCCTCCCTTCCTCCATTTTATATTCACAACAACCCTGTGAGGTGGGCAATATTTCCTGCTCTTCCTGTTCAGTGTTAAAATGTGGATGAATATATGACACTGTCCTAAAGCAAGCTGGACCTTTGGTCCACCTAGCTCAGTATTATCTACTCTGATCAGCCCTGGTGCTCACAACACCGACTACCTGAACTTTTTGACTGGAAAACCTAACAAACAAAACCTGAAGCAGCAGAAACATACAAGCGAGGAAAACAAGAATGCAGAAAACCCCTAAGTCTAAGACACATGTTACCTTTCTGTTTAAAAGAAATAATCAGAGCGGTGTACTGCACAAATCATTCACACAGACATAATATATTAAAAAACATGCCTATGATATTAAACTTTAGAAAAGAGCCTCCAATAATCAACAGGATCTCTGAAGGACATGGCTAGATCTTTGCCTTAACTTTCCCTTGCAGCATTTGTGTTGTCAATCCACTCTATCAAATTCTGCATTCAGATGTTAATAGGTTTCCACCCTACTGTAATGTAGCGTGTGTGTATGTACGTGCGCACGCAGACACACACGTGTGCAGAACCTGAGGCCTTGGGAGCAAGGGACACACAAAGTTTGCCTACTTATGACTCGCCAAAGAAAATTATAAGAATACCAGCAATTGAGATGGCTCTTTTTTATGTGTGACTGTAAGGAGAAGACAGATTAGCCAAGAATTAGACATGTTTTCAATGGCTGGCAATACCTACTAATATTGGCATGTGTATGGAGTAAAAGACGGGCTTGCACTGGAGTTCTGCCAGCTGTGGCATAAACAGGGTGCTCATTTTAGCGTATGTGTGTTCACAACCACAGGAAGAAATATATGCCTCACCAGAGAGGTACATTCCAACATCTTCATTTTCAAAACAAGCAAATGTATTGGATATTTATCTCTGGCCAACTCATTTTGGAAAATCAAATGCATAAACATTTCCGGCTTCTGCCATCTACAATCATAATATTTACTTTCAACGGAGAGTCAGTGGATGAGAATAAAGGAAATTACTCCTTGCAAAGGGAGTATCATCCTGACTGAATCAGGAATTAGGGATATGCACTCAGAAATGTACTATTGTAAAATCTGATGCAAATGGTGCCCATTTGTAAATGTTGTACATTAAACGTTGCTGATATTTTGGAGTGGTTGGAAACCTTCTGATCTGACAGCTATTCTGGTGCCTCGTTGGTTCAGTTTCCAAGGCAGAAGGGAGCGGGAGAGGCTGGGCCAGTGAGGGATGAGCCAGTCAGAGGGAAGCTGCTGGGACCCCTAACTGAGAACTACAATTCCCAGGTGCAACTACTCTTAAAGATACACAGCAGTTTTACCAAACTACTACTGCCTACAGTTAACACTCACTGGGGGCAGCACACTCCCCACCCGGAATCCTACGGGTTCCACTTCCCACATGTCCAACTACAAAAGTTAGCACATCTTCCCACCATTCAAGATCATCCTGGTTGGTATTTCTAGGCATAGCATTTCTCACAGTCATGACATCATCTCCTGTTTTGACAGGGTTTTTCTGATGCCATAGATCTGGTTGCTTGTATGACTTATTTCATTTTCTGGCGCTGCACTCATTCCAAAGGCAAGCGCAGTCTTCACAAATGGTGTGATGCGGGACAGTGCTGGCAATCAGGCCCGTAGCCAGGATTTTTTCAATTCGGGGGGCCTTTAAATAAGTCAGGGGGCACCCCCCCCCCAAGGAGTGCTGCAAATAAAATAAAAAATTGGAAGTCAGGGGGCCTGGGCTGGATGGGAAGTCAGGGGGCCTTAGCAGTAAGTCGGGAGGCCAGGCCCCGAGATGCCCCACTGTAGCTACGGGCCTGCCAGCAATAGAGGCAGAATCTGAACCTCAGGCTAAATTTACTAATTTTTATCATTTTCTTTCCACTGCTCAGACACTCAAGAGAGCTGATAATAAGAAACAGCAACTAAGCCCAGAAAGTCCCTTAAAATGTTCTAAGAATTCAACTCTGTAAATATTAGAAAGCTTTTTTACCTCAGCAATCTCAAAACCTTGACTATTCCACTTATACATATGTTCCCTGCCTGTTTAATAAAATCTTTATTCTGTTTTTGAAAGTCAACTTGCCTCAAGTGCCGTTACACAAGGGTTTAAGAAAACTGGACAGCTCCCGTATTTTCAGTAGAGTTCCTGAGCTGAGAAAAAGCCTGTACTGAAGATTTGGTGGGAAAGAAATCTGCCAGACAGTTGGGGAGATACAGGGGTTTGTCATCATAGGAAACAACAAAAATATTATAACCGGGTAAAAATGCATAGTAGCAGTGGACTAAAAACAATCCATTTCAAAGCAGAACATATAAGGTATGATAAGGTGTATGATAAGGTATTATCATGTTGTGAGCTCATCTGCTTTTGCTCTGCTTCCTTGGCTGTCACTTGCAGGGTGAGAAATCTTGCAATCTGTTGACATCATATATTTTGCTTTATTACTTTATTGCCAGTTTGGTGTAGTGGTTAAGTGTGCGGACTCTAATCTGGGAGAACCGGGTTTGAGTCCCCACTCCTCCACTTGCACCTGCTGATGTGACCTTGGGTCAGTCACAAGCTCTGGCACAGCTGTCCTTGAAAAAGAGCAGTTTGTGTCAGAGTTCTCTCAGCCCCACCCACCTCACAGGGTGTCTGTTGTGGGGAGGGGAAGGGAAAGGAGTTTGTAAGCCGCTCTGAGACTCCAAGTGAAGGGCGGGGTATAAATCCAATGTCCTCCTCTTCTTCTTCTTCTCTACTGTGTGAGAGGAAAGGAGAAGTGCCAGGGTTTTTCCTTTTCTCTCTACTGCTCAGTTTCGGAATTAGAATGCGTAAGTCTGCAATTTCAATGACATAGGGATGCCAGCCTACAGATGATGCCTGGGGATCCCCTGGAATGACAGCTCATCTTCAGACTATTGAGATCAGTTCTCCTGGGGAAAATGAATGCTCTGGAGGATGGGCTCTATGGCATTGTGCCCCACGGAGGTCCCTGCCCTCCCCGGGCTCCACCCCTGCTTATCTCCAGGAGTTTCCCAACCTGGATCTGGCAACCCTACCCGCCTCCACCCCCGCCAGAGGCCAGGGGGGACCTGGCAACCTTACAATGACAAAATGTGTTTGCAGGCTTTAAGTCCTACAAACACCATATTTTAAACACCACTGAAATTATTGGTATTAGACTGACACACATTAACAATCTGAACTATCAGAAGGGTCTGAAAGAAACTATCTTTGGTTCACTTGAGAATGAAAGGGTAAGAACGTACATGCCACAAAATGACACTTTTGTCGCACCCTTTTCTCATACGTACAAGTGTTGAAGACTCCAGCAAAGACCCAGCACTGGCCATACCGCACTGGCTCTTTAGAACTGTAGTAGTCCAGCAGAATGTCTACACTTCCAGTCCAGGCTGATGGTGCAACTCCATAGTCATAAACGTTGCTCCAAGAACCTACAAGCACACCCTGGTCATCTTGAGAATTGATCTGCAAGGGGGATGGGAAATAAGCAAATTCATTGCTGACATATACATTCCTATGTACTGAACAATATTTCCAAGTTTAAAAACATGAGTTAGAAATCCTCTAAATCAATCTATCTAGCACATTTCCCCTGCCCTTCGTTCCAGGAGCTCGGAGTGGCATACATGTTCTCCCTTCCCCATTTTATCCTGACAAACCCGAGGGGATAGATGAAGCTCAAGGGGACCCAGCAAGCTTCACACAAGGTGGGAATTTGAACCTGCACTCCTGTCTGAGAGACACAACACTCTAAGAATTAGAGTGCACACCGGTGCAGGAGAAATATCAGAATTATTAGTTCAGGAAAGCAAAGAAAAAGAAGAAGAAGAGATTGGATTTATACCCCACCCTTCACTCGGAGTCTCAGAGTGGTTTACAAATTCCTTTCCCTTCCCCTCCCCACAACAGACACCCTGTGAGGTAGGTGGGGCTGAGAGAGCTCTTTCCAGAATTGCCCTTTCAAGGACAGCTCTTGTCAGAACTATGGCTTGCCCAAGGTCATCCAGCAGCTGCAAGTGGAGGAGTGGGGCATCAAACCCGGTTCTCCCAGATTAGAGTCCGTGCACTTAACCACTACACCAAAATGGAGCGGTGAAGGCCATTATTTAGAACAGGGCATAATTCTGCTACACATAGTTGCCAGATTGAAAGGAATGGTGCTGTTCTTTGCATGTTGAAGAAAGCAGACAACCTATGAATCAGATCATTAGTCTATCAAGGCCAGTGGCTCTCCAGGGCCTCACAGATTATTCTAATTAACCCTAAAACTAGGGTTACCAACTTCCAGATGGGCCCTGGAGTTCTTCTTGAATTACAAGTAATCTCCAGATTACAGAAATCAGTTCTCCTGGAGGAAATGACAGCTTGGGTTCCGTGGCATTACATCCCTGCTGAATGCTCTGCCTCCCCCCAATTGTCTCACGATGAAAAATCTAGGGGGAAAAGATAAACTGCACACGAAGAAAGGGAATGAAACAAGGAAATCTATCATCTGGAATAAAACAGAAACATTAGCTAGCAATAGGATTGCCAGCTCTGTGTTGGGAAATACCTGGGGAATTTGGGGGTGGAGCATTGGGAGGGTGGGGCTTGGGGAGGGACCTCAGCAGAGTATAACGCCATAGACTCCACCCTCCAGGGGAACTGATCTTGGTTGTCTGGAGATCAACTGTAATAGTGGGAGATCTCCAGGTGCCACCAGGAGGTTGGCAACCCTAGTTAGCAAAGGAAATTCCTGCTTCTTCTCCCTAGAAGTAAAAAAGGGGAAGACTGCCATTCTGTAGAGAAAAGGGATCGTTTTGCTAAAGACCGATGCAAGAACTGAACACGGAGAGCCAAGCCTAAAGCATTAGGTAAGTCAACTGAGCAGTGGCAAGAATTATGTTTCGGAAGGAAGAGAACACAACAAAAAAAAGGAACAGGCCTCCTTTAAATAACAAATGGAAGCAGTATAAAAGAAAAACTACATCTAAAAGTTTGTGTTATAAGAAGAATAATGGTCTAAACGCCAAAATGTGGAGGACAATACATCAATGTAATTTGCAAGTCGCGCATGATATATCAATCAGTGTGAAAACACAAAATATGAATATTACACATATCCAACAACATCAGGATATAGATATTGATTGCAAAAGCCGGCCCAAAATCCATTTCAATCAAATCTTTTTAAGAACTCTAGAAGAGTTATGAAACCAATAACCGTAACTCAGATGAAGAATTACTTTTCTGATTTTTCTATTTTTTTACAGAATTTTATTTATTTGTGTCATTCTCTATGCCTACATTAACTTTTTTTTATTTTGCTTGTTAGGCTATACTTTAGACAGTTTACACAGCATCATGACATCTAGGATGTTTCTTCTTTAGACGTTTTATATCAGATCCATGTTTGTTGTTTGGGGCATTAATTGATATTCATTGATAATACTGTATGCAGATTGTGGATTCCATTGATATATCAAGCTCGGTGTTTTGATGTTTAGGGTGCAGTCCTCTTACATCCACCAAATCAGTGGATTTAGAAGGGTGTAACTCTGGCTGAATTCAGACGGGCAGTTTGAAGGGGGAGGGAGTCGTGGCAAAAAAGAGCCAGAACAAACTGTTCCAGGTTTTCCCGTTCACACTGCAGCGACTGATGCAGGAGCATACCGGGAGGAGGCGCGAGGGAGCGTTCACACTGTTGGCCTGGAGGCACGGCTGTAAGGCGCAGCTTTCTTTTTTGTAATCTGGAGATATGCACTTATGCGCATAAGAAAAATGCGGCTTTTGGCTTTCATACTTTGTTGGTGTGGGATGGACGTGGGATAATCGCGCTTTCCAGGGTTTGCTACCACTTTCACCAGGTATCTTTTAAACTCGGGAGCGAAGCATTACAAGACGGGTTGACGGGTTGAGTATGGGTGGGGAATGCCTGACTGATGTGCCTGTGTGAATGGCCCCTTTAATCCGCTTGTGGAACGTTTCTGAAACACACGTATATCGGGGCAAACTGCCAGTCTGAACTCGGCCTCTGTTTAGGATTGTGCTGATTTTGTGAAATATTCTGATCTGATGGGAGTGAAATACAATTGCTGAGAACCACTTTTGCAAACGTGACATGTCTCTCACTTTTGGGAGGTCATGAGGTTTACTGCCATGACCCAAGTTCAGTTCTGCCAGGTTCAGAACCACAGTGCAATTCTCCCCAAATGATTAGTATTTACCAGAAAAGGAACGGATCCTAGAAAGAAACACTGACCTATTTTACAAGAGAAATGGTCGTCAAACTTCTGTTATTTGTTCCAATTTTACCCTTTCAGTAGAATTCTTCTTAAGTAAGTAGCATGTGAAGAAAAATAGGGCTGCTGGGGTTTGCCCGTCATGACAGCAAGAAAAGATTTTGCTTGTTGAGAAGTTTGCTTGAGGAAAAGGTTGCACAAAGTGAGACTTTTGCTGACTAATGACCGAACAGATAGCTATTAGTGAGCAATATTTTTCCTCCCAGCAATCTGAACCAAATCAGTGGAGGCTCTGTGGAAAAGCTCCTTTGCTCTGTACCTTTTAATTATGTTAATGCAGAGCTGCTAAGTTCTTGCCAGATAAATCACAACTCTCATTGAAAAGCTTTTGGCTGGATTAACTACTGGTTCCTAATTAGAAAAATCGACTTCCTGTGAACCCCTAGGATGGAATGAGATAAGGATTCAGCGGCAGGCCCAAAGGGGTTTCAGAATTAGATCTTCAGCTGCTGTGGAAGGTAAGCTGGAACGAAAGAGGTCTTTCATAAGGCAAGATGTAACATTGATATGTACAAACTTTGCCACCAAAACCGATCACAAACCAGATAACTGGCAGGCAGCTTTGAGAAATTAGAAGAAGGATGTGGAAATATCCTGCAAAAGCTGTAGCACTTCTGGATTTAATACCATCTTATCAAAAAAGTTCCCAAAGTGCATCATGTAGGGTTGTCAGCCCTCAGGTCTGGGCGGGGGTTCCCTGCTTTTGGGGGCTCCAATCCGTCCCTGGCCAGCAGGGGAAGCCCCGCCCCAAGCCCCACCCCCAAGAGCGACCAGCTACGCAGCTGCCCCTTTCCCTCCCCTCCTGCCAGATTTAAAGGGCTTCAGCTGATTGGGGGGACCATGTGGCTCACCAATCAGCAGGAGGGCACTTTAAATCTAGCAGGAGGAAGGGAGAGGGGTGGTCACAGGCTGGGGTGGGGGCTGCAGTGCATGGGGCTAGGGTTTCCTAGGGTTGCCAACTCCAGTTTGCAAAATAACGGGAAAATTTGAGGGAGGAAACTGGGCAGGGCAGCGTTTGCAGAGGAAAGGGACTTCGGTAAGGTCAGCAAGGTCTAATACCCTCCAAAGCAGCCATTTTTTCCAGGGGAATTGATTTCTGTAGTCTGGAGAGCCACTGTAATTCTCTGAGATCCCTAGGCCCCACTTGGAGGTTAGCGAGCCTCAAAAAACAAGGATTGAGACGACTCGGGGGAAATCGGGAGGAGCTGTGGGTCAAAATGCAACTGTGCTGCAAATAGTATGAGACTGACCAATGCAAGTGGGAGAAACAGAAGAGCGACAGCGGCACAGCTATTTGTGGGGAATCAGTCCTTGTCTCCATATTCAAGTTTACATTTTCTGTGGAAAAAACTAATCTTCTAGCCTGAACCAGACTTATCAGGCAGGGTTAGGAGGCTTGCCTCAGAATGTAGATTGCAACATAGATTGGAGGGTATTCTTAAAAGGCACCAGTATTTAATGTTCCCACAAAGCAATAGTAAACAGAATTATATCCTTCTAAGCCCATAGACATCAATACATTTAGAAGGATGTATCTCTGCTCAGTATTGTATTGTCAAAGGTCTTCATGATCAAAATTTGGCCTATAATATTTTGGCCTTATAGATTTTCTGTCTCACAAATGCAGTTGCTAGGCTCCTAGTGGGGGTGGGTCATCCACCACCCCCAGTTCCTGTTTCCTAGAGCAGAGGCAGGAGAAACTGTTTTTAATTTTTTTTCCTAAAATGGCCATCAGCCCAATGGTGTGATGTCACTTCCAGGAAAACCCAGAAGTGACGTCGTGCCTCTCTAGAAATTGCTGGAAACTCTATTTCAAAATTATAGAGGGTTTTTTGGCATTTTCAGATGGATTTATTATAGTATTGGACCCAAGCTGCTGCTTAATTTAACTATCTCTCTATATAATAATTCTGTTTTGGTCATGGACTCTCCTGAACATTCCACACACTCCCAAATCAGTTGGCTCCCTGATCTGTCACTCAGAAGCTGTCCCTATCCACTGGCTGCATTGCCTGAGTCTCGCCTCCAATATTCTAAACAGTTTGCTGTTCCTCTCCCCCCAATAGCCAGTTGGAACACAGAGGTCATTTGCATATGCGGCCTGATTGGCCTTTGCCTCTAACATTCTAAACAGTTTGTTGTTGCTGTTGGGAGTCATTGAATGTGTCCTGAGGTAAAATACATATCCCAATCTTCCCTTAAATGGTCACTGGAGTTGCCAAAATACATATCCCAATCTTCCCTTAAACAATCACTGGAGTTGCCAATCTGCCTGTGGGGCCTGGAGATCTCCCAGAAATCACTGTGTTTCCCCAGCCTCAGCACATCATTTCCCCTACAGAAAATTTCCCAGCTACTACAATGGCTACTTTGGGCAGTGAACTCTATGACATTA